GTGAACGAAGTGCAAAGTATTTTGTGGGGTTTGCCAAGGCAATCCTGCTCCCGGCAGAAACATAAAAGGAAGTCTCAGAACACCAATTTAAGCCCCTCATCATTCATAATTAGCAAGTCAGTGGGGATCTTGAACTCCTACTTAAAGTAACAAATGTCGAGTGCCTTCTAATTTTACATATGAATTCTAGCAATCCTGACAGATGGGGTACTTCAACTTCCATGTGAATTATTCTACTTATAATTTATATTAGTTTCACATCCAAAAGTACAAAAACAAAAAGGGATGAAAGACAAGAACATTCTTTAGAAAAAAGTCACTGGCGAAATGTTTTTAATGTTTCTGTTATTTTGTTTTAAATCACTCATAAACTGAGAATCTCTAAAATCTCAAATTTAAAATGGTTTGACAATTTTTTTTCAAGCGGCAGCAGTTAATAATCTATTCTGGCAAACTGATACATTTTTACAAAACTGACGGCATCATATAATCTTAGAGCTGGAATGACATGAGAGATGTTTATTCCTACATCTTAATTTTAATGCTAAAGAAGCCAAGAGCCAGAAAACGTGACGGCCTGAGGTCACACAGTTAATTTATTCCAGAGGTGAGATGGACCCTTTGCATCTCTTCGGAATGTCACAAACGTCTCAAATGGGAAGATAAGAGACTTTTAAAAAGTTAAAAACAAATGATTGTCGAGAATAGAATAAATACATCTGATACATCTAAAAATAGTAGGAAACTCTTTGTATTTGCCATCAAGGGAGAGAAGTTCGGGTCTGTTTATCACTTATCTGATTTTATTCCTGGCAGCAGAAGGGAGCAATGGGAAAATGAAGATGCGTAGTCCTTCAAGATTTAAGTACGGTCGGTAAGGGCGACTAATAAAATGTTACAAAGCTCTGATGCTGCTATTATGTCTGGGAGCCTCCCAGGCCCCGTCAGGTGGGCAGGGCAGGCACCGGCGCCCCCTGGCGTGCAGGTGAGGCGCCTCCGCCCAGATTCACCCAGCGGAGTCCAGCAGAGGACACCCGGGCCTCAGAGCCCGCCCAGGGCCCCACCCAGCGCCCAGCAACGCGAAGACCTGCCCAGGTGAGAGGCCAAGTCCTGCGGCCGAGGTCAGGGCACACGGCGCGCTCCGCCCGCGCACGGGACCCGCTCTGCGTGCGGACGCGGAAGACGCTGCCGCCGCAGCCTGGGACCGAACGAGAGGACCCAGGTGAGGGCACTGTTTTCCCTCCATGAGGGGCATCCACGCTGTGTGCGCGCGTGCGTGAGTGCATGTGTGTGTGCGTGCGTGCATATGTGTTTGCGTGTGTGCGTGCGCATGTGTGTGCGTGTGCATGTGTATGTGTGTGCGTGTACGTGCCTGCGTGCGTGCGTGTGTATGCTTGTGCACGTGTGTGTGCGTGTATGTGTGTGCGTGTATGTGTGTGCGTGCGTGTGCACGTGCACGTGTGCGCGTGTGTGTGTGAAATGGGTCAAGCTCTCGGGAGAACTTGAATGCATTTCCCCTGAGCGCACCAGAACTCTGGTTGAAAGTCAAGTTCAAACACCAACGGCAAGTCTGCGGGTCCCTCCGCCTTCCCTGTGCCTCCCCCCATGGCGGTCCAGTTTCTGAGCTGGACAAGCAGGTCTGGGAGGAGAGGGAAGGAAGGGAAGCGCACCGGCCCCGCCCTTTCATCTCGTCACGTGTCCCCTCAGCAGGGCTCTGCGTGGAAGCACCGCGGGGCGCGGGGTGCACTGTCCACTGCGGTGGCCCCTCCACCGTCGCTGTCCTGCTTCCCAGGACAATTCAAAAACGCAAAGTGGCCAAGGACTAACCGTTCTGGGCCCAATTTGCTCACAAGTCATTACTTGGATTCTCTTCATCTTTGTTCTCCACAGCTCACTCCTCCCTTCCTTCCTTCCCTTTCCTTCCTTCCTTCCTTCCTTCCTTCTTTCCCCCCTCCCTTCCTCCCTCCCTTCCTCCCTCCTTCCCTACCTTCCATCCATGGAGAAGGGAAAAGTTGTCCTCGACCCTGCAGTGTCGCCGGCTGGCTCTGAAGACCAAGCTGGCAAACGCAGACCAGCGGGCGGGCGCGCGCGAGCTCGCGGGTTGACCGGACAGCGGACAGGGCGGCCAGACGCTCAGGGGGCCTCGCTCGGTTCAGACCAAGAGGCTCCGCGCGTGGGAACCGCCAAGGCCGAGGGCTTCACGGCGGGGACTCGACGGGAGAAGCGACTCGGAAAACGAGGGCGAGTTTTGCACGGTTTGCTCGCGCAGTTTTCTCAGGCCCGAAGCCCGGGCGTCCGGCGGTACGAGTGTCCCCCGCTCCTGGCACAGGGAGGGGCGCCTCTCAGGGGATTTGCAGCACATGTGGGGAAGAAGAGCCTGTGGGGAGGTCGGGGTGACCGTCCTGCTTCTGTCCTCTCAGACTCCTCCGGCCTAATAGAGTCGCGATGCCGCTCTGCCATGTTTCGGGGGTGCTGTGTCCTGAACCCCATCACTCCCTTCCACCTCGCCCTTCCTTTCTTCCTTCTTTCCCTCGAAGCTCCCTTTGTTCTTTTTTAATTGCTAAGCAATAATTATTTCTGAATTTATAAGCCAGATAAGACGATCTTTGATTTATTAGATATTCGGTCATTTATAACTGTAAACATTCTATGATTTTTTCAAAAATATACAGCCGTCGTTACTTCTACTCCTCCCGGAAACCCTCAGAGGTAGATGCAGGGCGTGCAGTATGTCCATGAGACATGCACGTTTCTTTGCTGACAGTCCCACGTCCTTGGTGATAAAGGACGGGCCACTCCCAAATCCGTCTCTTGGCATAAGGATTACTTTCAGCTGATTATTCTGAGAATCTGCAGATACAGACGGAGCTCCGAAAACAGGGAAGTTGCCTCTCTATAGGGAAATTTATCTCTGCAAGGAGATCTCCAGTCGTGCGCGTCTCCTTTTGCATCAGGAAAACGACTCTTACCAGGGGAAAAGGCCCTGACTTGCGCCTGCGCGGCTGCCGCGCCCGCCGACGGCGCTCTTCCTGTGACCCCGCCGCCGGCCGCCCGCTCCCACGCTCCCCGCGCTCGTGTCTTTAGCTGGACAGTTGTTCTGGGTCTCGTCCACGTGCACAGGAAGTATCCACGTTAAAAAGATCTCTTGTTAAACTGTCTTTTATTACAGGGGTTTCAAGCAAATACTCAGAAGAATAAAGAACACATTTTTCCCTCCCCACGATAAACTACTCTCTCCCCTGCACGTGGCTACTAGAGGGTCTTGTGCCTTTCTTTGAACACATTTATTACACAGACATGCACACACTCACACACGCACATACTCGCACACACACATGGGCACACATGCACACACAGATAAACACTCGCACACATGCATGCATGCATGCATGCACACACACATACACACAGAGACACACATGCATACAGACACGCATGCACACGCACATGCACACACACGCACACACTCGTACACACGATGCTGCTTTAGACAGCGTTCTGAAGGCTTCGAGATGGAGGATGCTACCTTGCCAGCATATTTTCTCTCTCTTAAGTGTTCTTTAACTTCACACTTCTCACAGAAACTGGTGATTATCTGAAAAATTCCTAAGTAGACTGATCCTCTCATACCATTGTCTGGTCATTTCAAATTCTCTTCTTTTTCAAGAACCGTTGCTAATGAGATATCTTAACGGAATTTCAATTTGCAATGTTGAACAAACAGCCTGCTCCATTCCTACAGAATTGGTCAGCGGCCCATTTTTCAAACTGCTAACGCAAAGTTAATGAGTTACTGAATTTAGCCGGTTTGGGAGCTATCAGCAGAAATCGTCTCATTGTTTTAAGACCTCCTCTGAACTTGCAGACAAATAAATTAGAAACTAAATGTCTTTATGCAATGCATGAAGCACATCACCCGTTCTGTTTTCCAAATAAGCGTCGCCCTCCGTTTTTCATTAATGATACAAAAATAGCACCTTATCTCATGGCATGAGAATTTCCCCCGAGTACCCATAACTCCCTGAAAGCTCCTCTGACTCTGGCCTGCCGGTCTCACAGGCACTTGGCAGAGGTTTGGCGCATTCGGCAGCACTGTGCCGTTAACGTCCGTAGGGACCTGCAGCCCCTATGTGGCAGGAAGCGACACCTGACGGAGGGGATCTGGACACTCAGACGACTTTGTTAGAGGAAGGAGAGTCTATTAGGCCGGTGGAACGCGTGCGGCTCTAGACAGAACAAAAGCACGGGCTCGCCCGCTTATCGCTTACGGGGCTTATACACCCCGGCAGTGTCCTGCGTAGGACGCGTGATTCTACGTGCACCTGTGCACCTCCTGACTCAGGATGGGAGGGGAGTTTCAGGCGGGGGCTGCGAGGGGGGAGGAACTTCTGGACCACGAGTCCCATCTATTTACAGATCGTTTCTCCTGTAGGTGTGACAAGTTTCCAGAAGGCCATTCAGAGATCTACAGGGCTAATCTGCAGCCTGCTGCATCCGTCATTTCTGCAGCCCTTCCCTTTGCATGTAACAGCGGATGCACCGGATGCTGCGCCA